TCCGTATGTATATGATTATTATATATACGAGTATAGCTGGCCCTGTGTATGTATATGATTATTGTGTTTACGAGTATAGCTGGCCCTCCGTATGTATATGATTATTATATATACGAGTATAGCTGGCCCTCTATATGTATATGATTATTGTATATACGAGTATAGCTGGCCCTCTGTATGTATATGATTATTGTATATACGAGTATAGCTGGCCCTATGTATGTATATGATTATTGTATATACGAGTATAGCTGGCCCTCTGTATGTATATGATTATTGTATATACGAGTATAGCTGGCCCTCTGTATGTATATGATTATTGTATATACGAGTATAGCTGGCCCTATGTATGTTTTTGATTATTGTATATACGAGTATAGCTGGCCCTATGTATGTATATGATTAATGTGTTTACGAGTATAGCTGGCCCTCCGTATGTATATGATTATTGTATACACGAGTATAGCCGGCCCTCTGAGTTTATCTGACCCTTTGTGTGTATAAGATTATTGATTATACGGGTGGAGCTGGCCCTATGTATGTATAAAATGATTGTATATAGGTTAAGATATGTATATATATAAAGTTCGATATCCAGTGGAACCTTATTAAACTGCCACAATTTATCCGAAACATGGGTTGGCGTTACAAAGGATGTTTGCGACGAATTGAGGGAAGTTGGCGGTAGGGGAGGTGGCAAATGTTATGAGAGGCATTATATCGAGGTTTTTCTGATACTATGTGTCACGTGACGTGCTTGTTCGATTAATGAACTTGCAGTACGTGTACTGTAAATTAATGATACCATCTATATACATTGTTATTCCTTCGTCAGTGCTGACGCAGTTTTTATCTTCACTACGACGATCGATTAACCATCAGGGAAATTAGTCTTCTTTCCGGGAAATGTCTATATTGGTTCACATAAGGAAACGGACTTATTGGTTAATTCCGGGAGAAGGTCTGTAGCTCTGTACCGGGTTATTCCAGGAAACGGCCTGCTCTGCCTCAAACATAAAATGTTCTTTATTAGTTCACACAAGAAAATGACCTGTTTTTGTTCACATAAGGAATCGGTCTGTATTTCAATGCTAGGAAACTGTTCGTAAATAAAAAGAAACGGTCTTCATTGGTTCACGCAAGAAAGCTCTCTGTATTGATTCACGTAAGGAAAGATCCTGTTTTGGTTGATATAAAAAGCAGTTTGTATTTTATTACCAAGTCTTAAGACATATTGGAATACATGGTTTTTTTCTAATCCACTGTTTGTGTCTACTTGAAGCGTGGTAAATCTTACGGTAGAATGGCGTTTCCGGCTTTAAAACAGAAAGGGACGATATGACGGTTGTCATAAGCCTTTGATCATCGCGTTATTCACGTGTGACATCCTTTGATTATATATACCCAGTGTTTATTTCATCAAAGTGACAACAGGGCGTTTCTAGGAGGCAAAAGATTGCGCATACCTCATCTGGAAGTGTACTCAAGACATCAGCAGATTTTATATTTGCAAAGAATTTGTCGTGATTTCTCTTTAAACATTCTTTCAAACCGTTCACAACCTTCAGGGGCAATATAACACACCATCGATTCACACCCTGTGTTCCTCGTTGATGCAGCGCCGTCACTTTGGTCTCCTGTAATTGAAGGTCTGGTGTACAGCACGCGTAATTAGGTGTTCTGACCTGTCTTGTAGCCAATTAGCTAACTATGAAATAACGGAATAGTTCAGCGTTCATCTGTTTATGTTCTGTATTGTAATCGTGCGCCCAGTACCTACTCGACATACAAATTAACATGTGCGCCCAGTAACTACTCGATATACAGATTAGCCAGTGCGCCCAGTAACTACTCGACATACAAATTAACCAGTGCGCCCATTAACTACTCGACATACACATTAACCAGTGTGCCCAGTAACTACTCGATATACAGATTAGCCAGTGCGCCCAGTAACTACTCGATATACAAATTGACCAGTGCGCCCATTAACTACTCGACATAAACATTAACCAGTGTGCCCAGTAACTACTTGATATACAAATTGACCAGTGCGCCCAGTAACTACTCGATATACAAATTGACCAGTGCGCCCATTAACTACTCGACATACAAATTAACATGTGCGCCCAGTAACTACTCGACATACAAATTAACCAGTGCGCCCAGTAACTACGCGATATACAGATTAGCCAGTGCGCCCAGTAACTACTCGATATACAGATTAGCCAGTGCGCCCAGTAACTACTCGATATACAAATTGACCAGTGCGCCCATTAACTACTCGACATACAAATTAACCAGTGCGTCAATTAACTACTCGACATACACATTAACCAGTGTGCCCAGTAACTACTCGATATACAAATTGACCAGTGCGCCCATTAACTACTCGACATACAAATTAACCAGTGCGCCCAGTACCTACTCGACATAAAATTAACCAGTGCGCCCAATAACTACTCGAAAATATAAGTTAACCAGTGCGCCCAGTAACTACCGGGCATATATAGTATCTCGCTCGCCAAATCACCCAACACATCCATCATTCTCGAAATTCCACGGGTTACGCTCACGAGGACCTGATAATTTGTAACAGCTTTATTTGGACCTAAACTAAGGTGATTGCTTTTGATGCAAGAAAGTTAGGTGGAGTCGATTTCTCGTAAACATCATCATATGGCGTGGCATTTTTACCGAAACTTGATCTAAACCCCTAAATCGTGTAAACTTACTCTGAACACCTTAGCTTAGGTCCTAATATAGCTGTAACAAATTATCAAGTCCCTGTGGCCTAAGGGTTTTAATTTGATCAAACTCCAATATAAATTCTGTTTAAATATTCTTAAACGCTAAGATGGTCTGTTATGAAAACCTCGCGGTCCCAATTTGAACAAATCGAATTGTAAATCCGATGACACGCTTCATAACACCCAAAGCACTATGGCAAGTCGAATCGGATATAAACGAATGTCCATGATTACTGCTGTTTAAATATCGATCTCGTATAAGCGGTGTTATGTGTTTGTGGTATATGTATTGATTGAACTCAAATGTATATTCCTAGATTGCTAGATATGGACTATCGTACCAAAAACGTCAATAACGCAATTTAGGAGGAAGATTGATTTTGAAAAATGTACTTCGATACCCACTTCAATATAAACGTATGTTAGTTACAACTTTGCAGTCATGTTATTTTGGTAGAGAAGTTATATTTCTATTCTAAAATCAATTTAACAACTTCATGAGTGAAAATTTAAAATGAAGTTAAGAGCAAGGAGGAGTGCGTTCTAACAAAAGGATGACCATTTTTAACAGAACCTCAGCTAGGGTTCCCTGTTATCGGCAGTCTGCAAAAAACATAAACTGGAATTTTTTGATTTTTTTTTTCAAATTCAGAAACAAATGAATGTATCCTTTCTTCTAAAACGGTGATTTGTCGTACTTTTTTTTCTCCCTAAAATGTTATAAGACATTTTTTTGCAACACTTTTTAATTGGTGAGATTTTACTTGAAATATATTAAAGCTTAATTAATGAATTATTTTGAAATTAGACTTCATTGATTTTCGGTATCTTATTGTTATGAATTTAAGGACGTGTAAAATACGAAGTAAAGCTTTTCAGTCTGTGTATGGATAAAGGGAATTTGTAATGAAACATCAAGGGAGCAGGGTTCTACCTATGCCTTAGTCTCGTTCAACCAGACTTCTGTTGTCTGCGCAAGCTACGCCGAGCAGAGACTTCTGTCGCAAATGTCAAAATAAATGTTGCGAGATACTCTTAATTTAAATGCAACTTTAGTGAAATCAGAAGTGACTAGAATGTTATTTATCTCCATATTTTGATATTCTTGAATTACAAAGTGATCAAGCTGATAAACACCATAGATATAACCAACCAACAAACCATCCCTGCCTTCGACAACCTCAATACGAGGGAAAACTAAAGAAACTGGGAAAAAATCGGTACAAGACCAACATTAGGGGACATGCTTTTAAAAATAGAATTGGAAATATTTGGAATCAACTCTCTACAGTTGTGGTAGATTCCCCAACCTTAAATGTTTTAAAATCTAGACTCAATAAGCATTGGGTCACACATCCAATCAAGTTTTTACCATCGTGCTACCAATATATAATATTAAGTTGTATACGCGTCCTCTGCGCAACCTGTAAATAAGTGAATAACTATGAAGAAACGTCAACAGAAGCAATGAAGTATGCTGACGAAGACGTCGACCACCATGAACCATGAACCAAGCGTCTGGTTGAAAGAGACTACCTATGCCACGGAATGAAATGTTTATAAAAATCAACGAAAAAAGTGTATCCAGAGAGACAGGAATGTGGCAATATTTGTAACATGTTTACCAATAGATCTTTCGCTTCTTTATGCTTAAATATACTTTTTATAAGTGATTTTGTTTTAATTTTGTTATCGCCTGGTCGCTTTCGCGTATCCCGGTTGAAACGGTTCAGGTGGCACAGCTATATTCTGCGATAAACGAACGCACTTGGACCGCAACTGTGCCGAACTTACAGACAGAGCTAACACAATTTCGGAATTTGTGACAAATAAATAACAATATATTACATAACATATCCTCAAATATACATGCGCATCGACATTTTTTATGCAGAAATCATGCATAATCGCGACAGTCAGCATTTCAGTTTTGGTCAGGCATGTCTTGACCCCTCGATACGAACGTGCCGAATTCTCTAGGGGCCAGCATTGGTTAAAATTTGAGCCTGCTAGTTGACGGTTGAACCGAATACGCGAAAGGGCGTCTAATATCAATGGGGCAAGGTGCTTGTAAAGAATTAAGAATTTTAGTTGCAAATGAACCAGGTATAAAATGAAATCCGGAAAAAGTGTACACGGATGCTTAAGTTAACTGACAAAGCCAATGTATTTTAACATGATCGCATTAATTCTTCACGTTCTTCTATTAGAAAAGAAAACACAAAAAGAAATGAAAACAAAGACATTTTTTTCAATTGCAATCTGTACTAATATGCATCGCTAGTTAGACATCTGGTGACGATGGAATAACATAAAGCATGTGACATCGGAAACCATACCTTTCAGAATTCTGACGTCCATCAGTTCTACATACAATCCATGTTATGTCACGTCTGCTAGACATTTCTTCACTTTATTCCAACTGCTAACTCGGAATATTTTGATAGATTTTGACAAACTTTGAACAGCTCAATTCAATCGCACCATTTACATTAATGAAGTTTTAAAACATTTCATCCTTGTTTCGTAAAAATATATTTCAATCTTTAACTTGTACGGCGTCATCTTGTACCGGGGGTTGATGGAATGTGACCTTCCCGGGGGCGGGCTGGACATTCTTGAGTTTGGATGTGGCCGGGATCGTCATTTCGATGGGACTCTTGGGCCCCGGTTCCTCACCGAGGTTCACTCGAATGGCGTCATCGCAATCGTCATCACAGGAGCAACGACTTGCCAGGATGCTGGGTAGAAGTAGGGCCGAGGCCAGCAGAACCCCTCCGGTACAGAACAGTATCAACCCCACCAGCTTGCACAGGTCCAGCATAGCGTTGTATGATATAGCTCTGTGATCCACCATTGCCACATTTTCGCCGTGGATCAGTTTCCGTATGATGGGTTTCTGTGGCACGAAATAGCCTACGAGTATACCTATCATCCCGAACAGAAGAAGGTTGACCCCACACCAAATACAAACCTTCAACCATATCGGTGGGCACCGTCGACGGCGTCTGGCTGAGGGGTTCAGTAACAATCGGATGTCATCGTCTTCCTCGTAAATCTGGGGATCCTTGTAGACATGGTTGTCATAGAACTCATGCAGATATGATTTCACTCCGAAGTAATCCGGACAAACGTGTCTGCGTTTCGGGTTGCTTGGATCTGAGTACTGCTTACTTCCCTTTTTGCTTCCAGTTGCGCTACCACCAGATTTATCTAAAAGCTCATGCTTTTCCTCCGCATGGCTTGCGGAAGTTGTGTTTGCGACTTCCGGGTTTTGTACTTTTGTTTGTTCCGATATTTGAACGTTTTCGGACATGACACTCCTCCTCTCCGGAAAGAATAGATACTCCACGTCCAGTCAGCACCACAAGGCGCTAACTATGGAACGAGATATTCCATTACCTGAAACGAGATTATTCAATGTGAAATTTGTTATGTGGTAATTGTGAAATACATGGGAACTCTCAAAGACAAAACAAGTCATCGCTGTTACGTCAATGTCACCCATCTGATGTATATCGTGAATCCGCTAAATGCTAAGCTAATTGACACGTGAGCATCACATCTGCCTGGTGTATCACGCAAACACACCTATCGATTTTGGACTACCATGGAAAAGTGTTGGAACCACGCCTACGCGCTGACATCCATTTCGTTTATCAAAACATGTTCTCCGCTGCCTGCCTTACAAACAAATGTTAGCCCACAAATTCTATGGATTTTTACCGCGAACAAAATTGTAGCAGAAATTTGATGTTGTTAATGATCGGAAAAGTATATTATTTGCTCTCTCGAGTTTACATTGGTCGGTTCCCTCGTGGTCGACAGGTAATCAGATATCATGACGTCAGTCGTCCTTATATTTATCAATGGGATTGTCCGCGCGTTCTGTTGTTCACGAGCCTGATGTAACTAATGTACGTCACAGGACGTGAGGAACAAAGCGTTGTCTCCATTAAAGTTTGATATATGACACATAAACGTCAAAACAATTTTCGGTAGAAATAAGATTTTTTATGATAATGCAGGAATGCATTAGTTGTAATGATAGCAAAGTCATTTAAATCCCTTTGTTTATTTCTGCATACTACCCATAAGACTAGTGTTGGTACCCGATCATTACCGAATATGACTGTATACAGGAAAGAGTTTCCGAACACTGGTGTCTGGGCTATTTTAAGACACAATACACATTGAGTGACCTTTCCGGATGTTTAGTGATTGTCATCAGACGTCACTGGGGGTATAAACAACAAGAAGGATGGAAAGCTCGGCTAATAAGTTCTTGCTATCACTGCAGTGAAACCAAAGCCCGCGTGTCTCTGTTCGGTTAAACGAGACAACAGCTTTGGTCTATGTTCCCAGCTTTCCATACTTTCTAGCATAGATACACTTTTCGTGGGGGTGGTATTTTGTTGAGTGTTGACCCCTTCTAGCCCCCAAACACACAAGGAAAGGTTTCAAAATGCCAAATTTGTCTTGATAGGTGTTGACAACATATGTATGATACCGTTGTTTAATATAAAGGCGATACAATTTTCGGCTTTTTCCGAAAGCGCCAATCAAACAGTTTTGATAGTGGACCTATTGACCCAAGGGCCGCTAACCCTTCAAATGCTCTACCACTGTCATATATCTCTCCTAGTGTTATTTAGCTGTCCTTGTGTGTCATATACCTCTCCTAGAGTCATATAGCTGTCCTTGTGTGGTTATATAACTGTCCTTGTTTGTAATATACCTCTCCTAGTGTAATAAAGCTGTCCTTGTGGATCATATACCTCGCCTAGTGTTATATAGCTGTCCTTGTGTGTCGTATACCTCTCCTAGTGTTATATAACTGTCCTTGTGTGTAATATACCTCTCCTAGTGTAATATTGCTGTCTTTGTGGATCATATACCTCTCCTAGTATGATATAGCTGTCCTTGTGGGTCATATACCTCTCCTAGTGTTATATAACTGTCCTTGTGTGTAATATACCTCTCCTAGTGTTATATAACTGTCCTTGTGTGTCATATACCCCTCCTAGAGTCATATAGCTGTCATTGTGTGTCATATTCATCTCCTAGTGTCATATAGCTGTCGTTGTGTGTCATATACCTCTCCTAGAGTCATATTAGTGTCATATAGCTGTCCTTGTGGATCATATGCCTCTCCTAGTGTTATATAGCTGTCCTTGTGTGTCATATACCTCTCCTAGTGTCATATAGCTGTCATTGTGTGTCATATTCCTCTCCTAGTGTCATATAGCTGTCTTTGTGTGTCATATACCTCTCCTAGTGTCTTATAGCTGTCCTTGTGTGTCATATACCTCTCCTTGTGTCATATAGCTGTCCTTGTGTGTCTTATACCTCTCCTAGCGTCATATAGCTGTCCTTGTGGATCATATACCTCTCATAGTGTTATATAGCTGTCCTTGTCTGTCATATACCTCTCCTAGTGTTATATAGATGTCCTTGTGTGTCATATACCTCTCCTTGTGTCATATAGCTGTCCTTTTGTGTCTTATACCTCTCCTAGCGTCATATAGGTGTCCTTGTGGATCATATACCTCTCTTAGTGTTATATAGCTGTCCTTGTGTTTCATATACCTCTCCTAGTGTTATATAGCTGTCCTTGTCTGTCATATACCTCTCCTAGTGTTATATAGCTGTCCTTGTGGGTAATATACCTTTCCTAGTGTCATATAGCTATCCTTGTGGGTCATATACCTCTCCTAGTGTTATATAGCTGTCCTTGTGGGTAATATACCTTTCCTAGTGTCATATAGCTGTCCTTGTGTGTCATATACCTCTCCTAGTGTTATATACCTCTCCTAGTGTCATATAACTGTCCTTGTGGGTCATATACCTCTCCTAGTGTCATATAGCTGTCCTTGTGGGTCATATACCTCTCCTAGTGTCGTATAGCTGTCCTTGTGGATCATATACCTCTCCTAGTGTTATATAGCTGTCCTTGTGGGTCATATACCTCTCCTAGTTTCGTATAGCTGTCCTTGTGGATCATATACCTCTCCTAGTGTTATATAGCTGTCCTTGTGTGTCATATACCTCTCCTAGTGTAATATAGCTGTTTTTGTGGGTCATATACCTCTCCTAGTGTCATATAGTTGTCCTTGTGGGTCATATACCTCTGATAGTGTTATATAGCTGTCCTTGTGGGTAATATACCTCTCCTAGTGTAATATAGCTGTCCTTGTGGATCATATACCTCTCCTAGTGTCATATAGCTGTCCTTGTGTGCCATATACCTCTCCTAGTGTTATATAGCTGTCCTTGTGGGTCATATACCTCTCCTAGTGTTATATAGCTGTCCTTGTGGGCCATATACCTCTTCTAGTGTAATATAGCTGTCATTGTGGGTAATATACCTCTCCTAGTGTCATATAGCTGTCCTTGTGTGTCATATACCTCTCCTAGTGTTATATACCTCTCCTAGTGTTATATAGCTGTCCTTGTGATTCATATACCTCTCCTAGTGTTATATAGCTGTCCTTGTGATTCATATACCTCTCCTAGTGTTATATAGCTGTCCTTGTGGATCATATACCTCTCCTAGTGTAATATAGCTGTCCTTGTGGGTCATATACCTCTCCTAGTGTCATATAGCTGTCCTTGTGGGTAAAATACCTCTCCTAGTGTCATATAGCTGTCCTTGTGGGTCATATACCTCTCCTAGTGTTATACAGCTGTCCTTGTGGATCATATGCCTCTCCTAGTGTCATATAGCTGTCATTGTTGGTCATATACCTCTCCTAGTGTTATATAGCTGTCATTGTTGGTCATATACCTCTCCTAGTGTCATATAGCTGTCCTTGTGGTATAGACCTCTCTTAGTGTGATATAGCTGTCCTTGTGGGTAAAATACCTCTCCTAGAGTCATATAGCTGTCCTTGTGTGTCATATACCTCTCCTAGTGTTATATAGCTGTCCTTGTGGGTCATATACCTCTATTAGAGTGATATAGCTGTCCTTGTGTCATATAGCGGTCCTAGTGTCATAAAGCTTACGTGGTGTCATATGGTTGTCATAGTGTCATATACCTCTCCTAATGTCATATAGTTGTCCTTGTGTCATATAGCTAATGAAGTGTCATATAACTAACCTATTGTCATATAACTATTATAGTGTCATATATAGTTGACCTAGTGTCTTAAAGTCACACTAGTGTCATATTGCTGTCCTTGTGTCATATAGCTGTCCTAGTGTCATATGCCCCTCTTAATGCCGTATAGCCAACGTAGTGTCATTTAGCTGTTCTTGTGTCATATAGATGTCCAACTACCATATATCTTAACCACTTTTACATGCCTCTCCTAGTGTCATATAACAATCCTTGTGTCAAATATATCTCCTAGTGTAATGAAGCTGTCCTGGTGTCATTTACCCCTCCTAGTGTCAACTGCCTCTCCTATAGTCATTTAAGCCACCCTTGTTTTATAGAGCTCTCCTGGTGTCATATATCTGTCCTAATGTGATACAGCTGTCTTCGTGCAATATAGCTCTTTAACTGTCATCTATAACTCTCCTGTCATGTTGTCATATAGCTCTTCTAATGCAATATAGCTGACCTAGTGTCACATACATCTCCTTTTGTCATATAGCTGTCTTAATGTCACATAGCTCGACATTACGTTTCTCATAGTGTCGCAGGGCTCCCCTGGTGTCATATCTGCCCAGGTGTCCATGGCGTTCCCATTCCCATCTCAATTTCTCAGTGTCAAATAGCTCTCAAAGTGTTCTCATGTGTTCTTTGTCAGGTTCTTCAATGTCGTTTGTGTTGCTTTAAGGAGGTTCTAGCGATTGAAGTCTGGGTTGATGTGGCCATAAACATTTTAGGGATGTGTCTAACTTCCCTCCTAGTGTCATATAGCGCGATGTGTCTTACTGTCATACTAGTGTCATATAGCGCTATGTGTCTTACTGCCTTCCTAGTGTCATATACATGTCTGTGTCTTACTGCCCTCCTAGTGTCATATACCTGTCTGTGTCTTACTGCCCTCCTAGTGTCATATACCTGTCTGTGTCTTACTGCCCTCCTATTGTCATATACCTGTCTGTGTCTTACTGTCCTCCTAGTGTCATATACATGGCTGTGTCTCACTGCCCTCCTATTGTCATATACCTGTCTGTGTCTTACTGCCCTCCTACTGTCATACACCTGTCTGTGTCTTACTGCCCTCCTATTGTCAAACACCTGCCTGTGTCTTACTGCCCTCCTACTGTCATACACCTGTTTGTGTCTTACTGCCTTCCTAGTGTCATATACCTGGCTGTGTCTTACTGCCCTCCTAGTGTCATATACCTGGCTGTGTCTCACTGCCCTCCTAGTGTCGTATACCTGTATGTGTCTTACTGTCCTCCTAGTGTCATATACCTGTCTGTGTCTCACTGTCCTCCTACTGTCATAAACCTGTCTGTGTCTAACTGTCATCCTAGTGTCATATACCTGTATGTGTCTTACTGTCCTCCTAGTTTCATATACCTGTCTGTGTGTTACTGCCCTCCTAGTGTCATATACCTGTCTGTGTCTTACTGCCCTCCTAGTGTCATATACCTGTCTGTGTGTTACCGCCCTCCTAGTGTCATATACCTGTCTGTGTCTCACTGTCCTCCTACTGTCATAAACCTGTCTGTGTCTAACTGTCCTCCTAGTGTCATATACCTGTATGTGTCTTACTGTCCTCCTAGTTTCATATACCTGTCTGTGTGTTACTGCCCTCCTAGTGTCATATACCTGTCTGTGTCTTACTGCCCTCCTAGTGTCATACACATGGCTGTGTCTTACTGCCCTCCTAGTGTCATATACATGGCTGTGTCTTACTGCCCTCCTGGTGTCATATACTTGTCTGTGTCTTACTGCCCTCCTAGTGTCATATATCTGTCTATGTCTTACTGCCCTCCTCGTGTCATATACCTGTCTATGTCTCACTGCCCTCCAAGTGTCATATACCTGTCTGTGTCTTACTGCCCTCCTAGTGTCATCTACATGTCTGTGTCTTACTGTCCTCCTAGTTTCATATACCTGTCTGTGCCTTACTGCCCTCCTACTGTCATACATCTTAGTGTCATATATAGTTGACCTAGTGTCTTAAAGTCACACTAGTGTCATATTGCTGTCCTTGTGTCATATAGCTGTCCTTGTGGGTCATATACCTCTCCTAGTGTTATATAGCCGTCCTTGTTGGTCATATACCTCTTCCAGTGTTATATAGCTGTCTTTGTTGGTCATATACCTCTCCTAGTGTCATATAACTGTCTCTGTGTTACTGCCCTCCTAGTGTCATATACCTGTCTGTGTCGTACTGCCCTCCCAGTGTCATATATCTGTCTATGTCTTACTGCCCTCCTCGTGTCATATACCTGCCTATGTGTCACTGCCTTCCTACTGTCATATACCTGTCTGTGTCTTACTGCCTTCCTAGTGTCATATACCTGTCTGTGTCTTACTGCCCTCCTAGTGTCATATATCTGTGTCTTACTGCCCTCCTACTGTCATACACCTGTCTATGTCTCACTGCCCTACTGTCATATACCTGTCTGTGCCTTACTGCCCTCCTAGCGTCATATACATGGCTGTGTCTTACTGCCCTCCTACTGTCATACATCTGTCTGTGTCTTACTGCCCTCCTAGTGTCATATACCTGTCTGTGTCTTACTGCCCTCCTACTGTCATATATCTGTCTGTGTCTTACTGCCCTCCTAGTGTCATATACATGGCTGTGTCTTACTGTCCTCCTACTGTCATATATCTGTCTGTGTCTTACTGCCCTCCTAGTGTCATATACCTGTCTGTGTCTTACTACCCTCCTAGTGTCAAACACCTGCCTTTGTCTTACTGCCCTCCTAGTGTCATATACCTGTCTGTGTCTTACTGTCCTCCTAGTGTCATATACATGGCTGTGTCTTACTGCCCTCCTAGTGTCATATTCCTGTCTGTGTGTTACTGTCCTCCTAGTGCCATATAGCGCTATTTGTATTACGGTCCTCCTAGTGTCATATACCTGTCTGTGTCTTACTACCCTCCTAGTGTCAAACACCTGCCTTTGTCTTACTGCCCTCCTAGTGTCATATCCCTGTCTGTGTCTTACTGATTCTAATGTCAGATACGCGTTTGTGTTTTTTAATTATTATTTTTTATTTATACCTGTATGTGTCTTACTGTCCTCCTAGTGTCATATACCTTTCTGTGTCTTACTGTCCTCCTAGTGTCATATACCTTTCTGTGTCTTACTGTCCTCCTAGTGTCATATACCTTTCTGTGTCTTACTGTCCTCCTAGTGTCATATACATGGCTGTGTCTTACTGCCCTCCTAGTGTCATATATCTGTCTGTGTCTGACTGCCCTCCTAGTGTCATATACCTGTCTGTGTCTCACTGCCCTCCTATTGTCATATACCTGTCTGTGTCTTACTGTCCTCCTAGTGTCATATACCTTTCTGTGTCTTACTGTCCTCCTAGTGTCATATACCTGTCTGTCCCTTACTGTCCTCCTAGTGTCATATACCTGTCTGCTATTGTCATATATCTGTCTGTGTCTTACTGCCCTCCTAGTGTCATATACCTGTCTGTGTCTTACTCCCCTCCTAGTGTCATATATATGTCTGTGTCTTACTACCCTCCTAGTGTCATATACATGTCTGTGTCTTACTGTCATCCTAGTGTCATATACCTGTCTGTGTCTTACTACCCTCCTAGTGTCATATACCTGTCTGTGTCTTACTGATTCTAATGTCAGATACGCGTTTGTGTTTTTTAATTATTATTTTTTATTTTGTTTTAGTGCCTATATGCTATGTATCAATGACAGAAGTTTCAATATGAAAATATGAACAAAAGATTGTTTATAGTAATGTAACAGCGTATGTATATATTATATACAGGTTACTGAGACATGTAAGGGTACATTCAATACAAAAACTAATCTATAAGATTTGTATATTGTACATTTTATCTTATTCATGTTTCCTTTTGAATCATCTAAATTTACAGTCATCAATATTAACTACTTTGCAGACATATGTATATTTCATCAACATTGTTTTAAGGGAGAAGGCGAACTTTAAGTTTTATAACTTGTGACTAATCCCTTTTGTATTTTTGCAAATAAAATATGTTTAAAACAAAATCTGCCCTCATAGTGTCATTTTTCTGTATGTGTCTTACTACTCTCCTACTGTCGTATATCTGTCTTCCTGACTTTCTTATATCAAATGTCTCGACATTAGCCTTATTTTGTCTGAACTTGTCGATTTTATTGTATTATTTGTCGGTTGCATATATTACCTAATACATATTATATAACTCCCGGAGTGAATACACCAAAATAAATATAATATTTTATCTTCAAAGACATACACTACAGACAAATGGTTCAGCAGCACAATTTAAAATGATGCTATTGGCGAGATACAGTAACACAAGATGGAAGTTTCTTATATTACACCAAAAGAGACACAGAAAACACATTATAGTCTGTATAACATCACACGAACATTCTGACATCATCAAATTACGGTAGCAGTCCATGGTTGTGCCAAAACATTTCGATATTCGATTTTGCTTGAAATGCGTGGGAAGTTTTTGTTTGTAATAAATCTGATGCTAATGAACTATTCGTCACAGAAATCAATTCACACGCTAGAAAAAAATTGTCATGTAGCGAAATTGTATAAAACATACACACAGATGTGAAATATTTGACCAGAAATAGATATTTACTTACATGAGTAGGTAAAACATCTGATCCTCAGAAGACACGCTCTATCTCGTGTCGGCCATGTTGGTTATGATTGAGCTGCTGAGGCTGAGTATTGGTATTACTGGCGGGAAAAGAAGATCGATATTCCTGGGAGGTTAAGTTCGATATCACTGGCTTCGTCGTGGATAGCCTTGGGCCTTGCTTTGTTTATTTGGGGAGCTTCGACAGAGCAAGAGGCTAGCGTGTTTCAGATGTGGCGTGAAATCAGATACAAGCTAGGCGTTGGCTAGTGTCAAATGCGGCGTGAATGAAGCAAAATATGTATAGCATTACGGACAGCTATTAATATAAAAGAAATGATAGATAAACATTCATTAGTCAGAGTTGAAACAAGGTTGTTTTTTTTATCAAAAGGCTCTACATTTAATTTGATGTTATATAAGACCTACTGTTACTGCGAGTGCGATTCACTGATGACGTTGTTTTTGGTTATGTTCCATACCAAATAAATCCATATTTTCCCCCTAAACGGGGACCGCAGTGGCCGTGTGATTAAGATGTCAGATAATTGACTATCACTAGCCCTCCACCACGTGTCGCAGGTTCAAAGCATCCGTGGGACAGTCGCCGGGTACTGCACTACGCAGGTCAGTGGTTTTTCTCCGGTACTCCGGTTTCCCTAAGTACAACCGCCAAAACCAAAAATAGGTTTGTGTCACCATATCTCAGTAGAATTTCTTCAAATTTTGTGCATAAAATTGCTTTGAAGAAAAGAAAATTTTCTGCCACAAAAAAAATTAGGTTGTCACAATTTTAAGGATTTTAAATGGAAATATATGTAAAAAGTAGTGAATTTAAAAAAAAAAAAATGAAAGACACAATAATGCCAATAAAAATGACACTGCCATAGATTAGCATTGCATTAATGTATATCAATTTAATAAATGCTGAAATTGTGTAAAATAAATTATCTATAAACGATTAAAAATTGACATTTTATAATAAAACCATATACACACAGTAATTGCATGTAGCAGTTATCTTTCTTGAAAAATGACACTAATAGGAACAGAAAAATGTGACTCATTGATAAAAAACCAACTGAATTAATGCCTGGATTGCTTTGAAATACTTAAATATTGAGAGACCACATTTTTCTGTCAACAATAAAATATACAATATTCACCAGTTTAAGATACGGAAATTGTGATACTGTCTCCCTACATTGGATTTTCAACTAGGGATGCACTTCCTATTTCCGTTTATCAATACACCCATTCAACCTTAAATGACGAAAGCTAATTTTTTTTTTAAATAGAACATGAAATACAAACAAACCACATATATCCTGAACTCGTTTTGTTGATATCTTGGGTGATATAATTTTTACTAAAACATCTAATTTTATCTCAGAAATATAAATATGATAATTTGGTGTTAATCGTGATTTAAGAATACATGGAATGCCAGAGCTGTCTCTATTGGAATAACAAGTATAAAATACATGAATTCACTATGGATTGAACTTTTTATTCCAATAAATCAAGAGTTAACATGTTTAATGAAATCCTTCATTTTAACAGATTTGTATTGCTCCTTACCCCAGATGCGAACTAAGTTTTCGAAATTTTTAGGTTAAAACTGTTTCGTTATTTGAAGTTTAAAAGTGAAGAGTTATTTTCTGAAACGGGAATTATAAAAATAATCCGTGCATTATAAAATGTTGATCCTGCGAACATGTTTAAAAGTAACGCATGCAGAAATTGTCCCCCACCGACCGTTGCCTCCGTCTGTCATGTTATCGGCGTTTAACTTTAAATGTGTAAACTTTATTAATTTTACAACAGTTATGAAACAGGTTATTTGAACTGATATGAATCACTCTTGTTGGTCCGGATGTTAGCGCGCGGGGGGTCTTAATGTGGGAGAAAAACCGGAATACCATATTAAGAAAAACCCACCTGGTTGAGCAGTTGACCCCGTCGGGTGGCGCAGTGGATAGCACACTTGCCTCTCCCCAGGGCTACCAAGGGTTAAATCCCCCGATCGGACGTGAAAAGAAATATANAGTTGAAATAACCACTTAATATTATCTAGCCAACACACCCTTGCATTACACCTGTCTTATGTTTTAGCACAAATATACAAATTCCATCCATTGCTGATTAAGTTTTCAATGGCAGTAGTCCATCGTTGTTTTTTTTTTCTATAGATACACCATTTAGAATTGTCTATCACTTAACATTTACTATCCCAAAGAGGGTCCGCCAAAGCAAAACCGATTCTGTAGGGGACCCGCATTAGTTTGTTCCGAGGGGTTTTAACTGAAGTGAACGATAGGGTAGACTGTAAATGCTATTAAGTAAAACACGCAATTGATAACTTTTACATGTGGTTACCTTGCTTAAAATTAGCACGAAGTTTTACACCCCAATGCCCGTGCTTTTTTGAGAATTTTAGAATACACTTTCACGAATTATAGATACATGTACATGCATGTAATACCAGTTTTGTTAGAAATAACTGTGACGAACCACTGGTTTGATCAAGCTTTAATGCATAGCAGGCCACAACGTGTTCAATTTACATGCAAGAAGAGGTTTACAGTATATCGAAAAAAATATGTGCACTTTGTATAAATCCGCGAAGTTTCACGTTAATTTCAGGTCTGCCAAACTGTCTCGTTTTGGATGTAGTGACGGTGAGTGTTCATCACACTGATAATTTCTGATGTTTCACTGATAAAAACGCTAAAAATGTAATAAAAGTCTTTATCTAGAACACACAACATGAGGTCCGTGATTACAATCACAATGTTATCATGGTTATTCAGAGAACAATTCTAGTGGGCATTTATTAAATAACTTAAAATGCTCAAAACAATAACGAAAATGTTCATACCGATAAAAACAAATGTTAACAATTTGTGTAACAAGCGTTAATGCCTTTGGAGGGAGAGTCAGGGACAATGTATGCCGTGATTGTCAAGCGTAAAATATTTCTTTTGAGAAAAGTTCGCTCGGAAATAGATAATTGTTTCACTAATTCAGTCCGAAATAGTGAACTGTTTCATCCCCCCAGTCAAACACACATTAGTTAACGTACAGGTGCTAACTCGTCTGTCTTCTAGCCTCGTCTGTCAAAACACCCATAATATAATCAAGGTTGCTAACTCTGTCCCCCTAGTAAAATGACCCCGTTCCAGAAAACATGCGTTTATAGTATGACGCCGGGAACAGTCTAGATCGAAAGGAAAATATTTTTTCTTAAATTTTATGTGTGATTTGCCATATTTCATGCAGTATAATTTTCGGTAGACTTCATGAAACATCGAAAAATGGTAGAATTTCAGGTAGTCGGACACTGTGTGCCCCGGGGAAGACACGCTAAATCCTATGATTGTGCTGCATATACATGGCAAATCGTACATAAAATAAAATAAAAAATATATTCATGTCGATCAAGACTGCTCCCGGCGTCATATTATTCTGAAACGGGGTCATTTTACTAGTGGCGCAGAGTTAGCAACCTTGATTGGTAAAGCGAAATAACTCGTACAGGGTGTATCTCCCAATTTCCCAATGTGCTCTGTTAGATGTTGATTAATCTACACATGTAATTGAAAAAAAATGACCCTTTCAAATCTACATTCTCGAATAATTTTAATCCAGATGTGTTATAATAGACATTCTATTTAGTTTTGTTGTGTTTTTAAAAGACATTGATTTCGATAAAAAAATATTGTCGAAAAAACTCACGTTAGAGATCAATGGACACATTGTGATAGCTTTTTGTCGTACGTATTCCGTTTTTCGCGTATTGCAGAGTTATCTTCTCTTGAGAGCAGGTATTGATTGTTACGTCATTGGTTCGTGTGAGAAAATTACGTCGTTTTCTCAAAAATTGATGACGTTACTCTCACAAGCAATTGACGTAACAATCAATACCTGCTCTCAAGAGAAGATAACTCTGCAATACGCAAAGACGGAATACGACTTCTCCTTGAGAATCGGTTAATGGATTACTTTCAAACTTGGTAAGAATCCAGATTGATGGCAGAAGCTATCGAATTGTAAAATTGGAGTCCCTGCCCCTACACCAGGGGCCAGGGCGGGTCCGAAAGATAAATCAATCTATATTTAAGAAAAAGATTCTTCTCCAGAATCCGATGTTTTAGGATCAAACTACCTCATTGATGGAAAGGTTAATAGGAGCTAAATCTAATTTGTAAATTTCGTTACTTCCGGATGATCCGTTCTTCCTTGGGGAGGGGGTTAAGTTTATTATAGTTTGTATAGGGAAATTTCGACCTTTTTTCAGTAGGGAATTATTCAAACTTGTCTGGAATAAACATGATGGGATGACATTGATATCGTATCAGAAAGTAAGATTTTAGTAAATATAATACAATATGATATATTACATGATCTCCCATCACCTCGTCAACGGGTATACCATGTTATACGCACAGGGGCACGCCACATACTAACCGAAGGTATATATACAAGTGGGCGTCCTTTTATATCTATCTCCTGTTATACAGCACGTGATATGACCCTGTGGTCAATTTGATTGAACCAAATTTTAAGATATCTATAACAATTCAATCTATTTCATACAAAAAACTTAAAATTCGTGGACTTCATCTGCCCGCTTTCAGGACATGTTTTAGATGTAGTCTATTGTTACCTCATTAATATTGTGAGTCAATATGCACGGATAAAATTCGATCGAACTCACCGTGACACATGTCGACATATATATGCGCATAACGAATTACGTTGAAATCGACCCAGATTTGCCAAACACAAGTTTTAAACCTCATGAAGGATACGAAAAAATGCACGGAATACATTGACGATAGAACTCGGCCTAAAACATGTTAAAACGTATAGGCATACCGAATTTGGTTGAAATCGACCCGTTCTAAGGGGCAGTTACTGCACGGAAATTAAAACTTGGCAGACGGACGCGCCAAAATTAATGTCCCCCGTTTTCTTAGCAAAGCAGGAGATAGAAAAGAAATCTATATTATTTACAGAACGTTCTGTCTGGTAATTAAGGGATATACGGATAGCAAAATCTCCCAGTCATCCGTTCAAAATTGGTAATATAATCATTGAAATTACCTCCCCTTGTACATAGAAGTTTGCTAAGATATCAACGATTTGATGATATGGTATTTTGTTTTATATCCCCTTAAAATCATTTTAATAAAAATCTATATAAAAATCCACAACTGGAAAACAGCAGGTTTAAATACAGTATACTCAGATATCATAAACCCACTGTAAACTTTTACTTAGGTAGGTCTTAATCATGTTACCAAATAAATCAAAGTAGCACAGCTTACAATCTCAATGCTGAACTGTGAATGAACTGTTACTAACAGGGATACTATCAATGAACATATAAAAGGCTACCATCTTCTGTCATTTGTAAAACTTTTGATAGGATTCGACATAAATAATAATATTTAAAAAACTACGGAATGGATGTCAATCTTTTTTTGTTGTTTTATCAGAAAAACTATTTTGAAGGTGTATAACTTTAAAAGCATCATTGCATGTGTTCCCCCAAAGTCAGTGAAGGAGGTAGTCCTATTTCTCTTGTTCATCAAGGACCTTACACACGAAATATACCAATAAATACAGGATACTTTCATGTATGTTTGTTATTGAAGAAGATCATTTAAAACCCCTCTTTTATTAACTCTAAAATTAACTGAACATTTCTGCTACAAATACACAATGGGTCAAATAATCTCCTGTAAATTTGCAGTACCTGGCTTAGAAACAGTGAATTTAGGACCAAAACAAATAATAGAAACACTTTGTGGGTTGGCCCCGACACCAATTTGACAGATAGATGTCTGGTGTCAGGGCTAGAAGAAACTCGGGCTAGTATTGGTAGCAGAGTACAGTAGAAATGGCTCGACCCTAAAAATAAAGGGCATGTCTCGGATAAACATGGATAGCGGGTTCATCCTGCACAACACACCTACATATATATATATACATATACAATCCGCCTGAAGAAGCCCTAGAAGGCAGAATTATGTTTTTATTCTATATTTCCCTTCGCAAGGACTTAATTATTTATTATCTACTATATATATATATATTAACTACATTTTGAATACGTTTTTTTAGAAGAATAAATGTTTTTTTAAAAAAGTGATTTCCACAGATTTGGGACTTGTGAAAACCATGGTTACCACATCAAAAAACACCAAAAAATGCAATAAAACCTGATTTTTAACCCAACATTTGACCCACTCATCCTAACATAAAATGATGACCATTTTGACATCCTGCTACCATTAGTCTTCCACCACTGGGTCGCGGGTTCAAGACCTACGTGGGGCAATCGCCAGGTACTGGCTATTGGTCGGTGGTTTTTCTCCGGGAACTCCGGCTTTCCTCCACCACCAAAACCTGGCACGTCCGTTAGTGACAATAGCTGTTAATAGGACGTAAAACAAAAACAAAACACACCCATTTTAATAAGTCTCGATTTTGATCCCGAATTCTACAGACGAAAGTGGACTTTCTCAATTCCCATCTCCTCTGCACCATTAGATTTTCTCATATAATCGGAGGTCAACGGTTGGCTTTTTGATTGGTTGAAGATATTCATGACCATTCGCAAAGCGGATAGGCAGTTGTACGTTTCTTTTATCAAAGAGCTACTTCTCTTAAGATCAAAGCCAGTTACTTTTACCGTTACACTGGTGCACGATTCCCGTGTATCTTGAACGTCAAAAATCAAGCCAAGACATTGGTATTATACAGGTATTATGACACCGGCCGATAGAACTACTCTCTGATAGTATTGTCCGGGGAGAAATAGTAAAATAGTATCCTCGACTCGCGTGCTCTTTCTCTTCAGACAACACTACCGGATACCAACTCAATCGGGAAAGCGTCATTTTATATTATTTATGTCATGGTGTAACTGTTGACGTCATCGATATTATGATAAAAAAATGTTGCCGGTTTTGCTGTTTGATGTTTTAAGAACTGCACAACCGTCAACGATGAGCGCAGGCAATTTGAATCATTGCAATAAATTTATACAACGGGATTAAAAGGGAATTAGGCATATATAAGCATTGAACTGTTTTCAGTTATCATTCATAGGCATTATGAATGCCAACTGTACAGAGATAAACTCAACATTAAGCGCTAATGCGCTTCATTGCCTTTGCCTTTGTCCAGTTGGCAATGCAAACTGATAGCAGATCAATCTACAAACAAAGGATCTGAGTAATCACAAAAGCAGTTTTATAATAAAAAGTCTTTTAATAAATACAATAACTACAAACATGTGATAAAAAATCGGTAACAATTTAAGCAATATTAAAGCAGACAATACACAATGTAAAATACCCCTCGTCACTTTTGTTACCTGTGGAATATAAACGTTTATTGTCATTCGCAGGTATACCTGCACACATTGTAGAGGATTACTTCATTGGAAATACGCCCTCTTCTCCAACACAACATCTATTTAGCAAACATACTAAAAGTAACTGAATAGATAATGTTATTCATTAACCAAAATATAGCAGGAGTTAAACCCTCAAAAATATAAGCATGGCGTTCAGCATCACAACAAGCGAAATATAGTTCTTTAAATATTTCATGTAGGAACAGCCTGAATGGAGAACCACGGAGGGCTGTGGTCCTCAAAATGTTTGCGTTCATCAACGCCGCTTACTACAACGGTTGCTGGGAATGATCTTGGTCTGTTCGGGTCTTGGATTGGCTTAGCATCTGTGGAAACGTATCTTACGACGTAGCCACAACGCCTGCGAGTAGGTCTGTTGGGGTCACTTCCGTGTACAAGGAGGCCGGAATGAAGAGACATTTGTCCTGCGTTGACCGGACAGGGAGTAGACTTCGTGACGTCCAAAAGGTGGGTTGGAATGGATTGGTTGGATGACAACAGATTACCTTCCTCCTCAGCATTCTTGTGCTCAAGTATTCCCAAAGTGTGCGTGCCTGGCAATTACAAAACCGGAAGTAAGAATTAAGGTGTGTGTCAGAGCACAGGACTACTATACGCATCAGGGCTATTCACTGATGGTTAATAGAAATATAGAAATGTATATATGTCTTACCTTCACAATATAACGAAGACAATGAATTAAATTCATGTACAAATTGCAAACCAGTAAATGAGAATAATGATGATTAATTTATCCTCAGACAACAACCAAAAGGGCCTTACCAGGTATGACACACATGCATCCGTTCTCCGAATCAGCGTCATCCACGGCTAGCCAGGCGGTGACCACTTCACCCTCCACTCCCCAGTACCTGCGAATACAGACAAACTAGTTAAAATGGATTGTTTTACCCGGCTGGTAAATATGTCTTAAAGAATTCATTACGTCATTGTTTATTTTCATTTTTTTTTTTTTTTGCAAAATAATTTTAAATATTTCTAATTGCAATTTTTTAGATGACTTTCAGAGAAAATTCCTACCTGATGTCCTGATGCCACGCGACATAGGGAGATCCGTTGGGCTTGGACAATTCTGTTTCCGGATATTTACAGATGAACCGGGAGTCGAGGAGGACGATGTTCTGTCCCAGGATCTGCCGGACTGGATGGAGCAGTTTTGGATGCGAGACGATGTCCATAACCCACGGATGCTTCAGATGGACATTGTGGAGAGAGTACTGGGCGTCCTCTTTACCTGGTAAATACAAATGTCACTGAGATAATAAGCCGGCCCTATCTCACACTGAATGGTCCTGTTTATACTGAGTAGCGACACATACAAACCTTTAAAAAAATTCATAAGCAGTGCATACTGCAATTTAAAGCTATTCAAATAACTCCCCTATCGAGTGTTCAAAAGTAGCAGTCGATATAATACCCGAATTGTATTCGGCTCAGTGAATTTAAACTGTTTATCTGTTTAAAAAAAGGCAACAGTAGCCAGAATTAGGTCAAGAGTTAAATGGTACGAAGAAGGGGAGAAATCAACAAAGTATTTTTTCGGGCTTGAACAATCTAGAGGTTAAAATAAAATATGGACATCAATTAAAAGTGAGGATGGAAAATATACATATAAAATTGAGGATATATTAAAGGAACAAGTGGAGTTTTACAATAAATTATTTACAACAGAGGGGATAAACGAATTAGAAGCAAATAGACTATTAGAAAATGTTGATACAATGTTGAATGATATGCAGAAAGAAAATGGTGATCAACTACCAACAGAGAAATAAATAAAAGTTGCGATAGATAATCTAAACCTAGTTATCAATCTAATGATACTTACAACGAAATGGTATATTTGGAAACCAAGAAATAAATTGAAATTTGAGAATGATGTTGTTGTAAATAATCAATACACTCTGAACAATATAAAACAGTTTTTAAATATGAACATTTCAATATTAAAAAGTTCAAATAAGTATTCCTATATCTGGGAGTCATTAAAGAATGTGTTTGATTCTTAATGAGTACAAAAACGCATATAAACACGGGTTTATAAATACAAAATTTCAGTGAAAACAAATGTGTATCATGTATTATAATGTATTAATTTATTGGTGAACATTTTACCAAAATTCCTATGTAAATGGTGACTCAAAAAAGATATCTGCAACTATTTGACAAGAATGAAAGATGAATGAATGAAGACATACTAGTATTAAATTTGAATTAATTGAAAATGATACTGTGCATCCAGTTGGGGTGTTTCACGTTCTGCCATATACGTTAACTATGATGTGAAAGACTTTACAAAAGGGGGTGGCTACTGGCAGACAAGATTCCTCCACTGGGTTACATGGTTTTGGGAATTTTGATAAAAATCACACGTTTTCTCATAGCAAATAAAATGAGGGAAAGAATAGAAAAAAATGCCTCTTGTGAGGGCCTGTTAATGTGGGTTATAATATGATTATGTAGGTCAATTCATGATTTTTCTAAGCTTCTTCCATGATACAAACTACGACAAAGTGAAAGTAAATCACAAAGGGAGTTTCGTGTTTTGTAATGTTTGTAAATAATTAAAGTTTAACTTGAAATTGAAAAAGTAATTATAGAAAGCGAAAGTTCTTTGTGACATCCAAATTAGAACGGCGAAGGGTCAGTACAGGAATAGAACGAGATGACCGACAGGGAAGTAATGCAGTAATACGCATGCGCAAGTTCATAGCAAAAGTGAAACCAAAGGAAATTCAAGCTACTAAAGATATGTTAGAGTTCAAATGTGTCTTCAGGGGTGAATGAGTTAACACGCTGTAAGCGGCTCTTTTTTTTTTAAATATTTTTATCCTGTACTTCTCCGCTCTTTTTCTTTATAGACATGTATATTTACACGAATGCGTTTCAAACGACCCTATTAGATTCAAGTTCACGTAAAGAGAAAGAAATAATGTAAATGAAATTGACGAGATTTATATATTTGAGATCGTCTCTCGTATTGAATTAACAGGAAAATATGCACATACATTCTCATATATATATATAACACAAGAAAGTATAATTGACCTATATAATAAAATATACACACATGACACAAGAATTAAAGGAAACAAACTATGCAATGTGTTAATATCTCTCGTAAGTGCTTATTGTTTTAACACAACGGACAGTTTTACTGCCTTCTTATTGGGAACGGCAGTGGATAATTCATTTTGTATAACAATACCCCTAACATCATTTGTAGTTTTCGTGTAGAACAAAATAATTGATAAATATGACGATCATTGTTGTAACACAGATGGTTCATACACTTACATAAATCTATAATTCATTACCTGTATTTTCCTCCAGCTCTCCGAATTTTGTCTGTAAATCGGCCACTTCGTCTGCTGACAAAACCGTTATCTCAGGAAAGTATCCGTTCTTGTTGTAAAAGTCTGCTACATTTGCCATTGTGAAAGGCCCCTATATAATTCTTGATAACAAAATACTTTTCTTCAAAAATACTACAAAATACTTTTCTTCAAAGCTTAAAAAACGACTGTCTGACTTTTTCGCCTGTTTGTTTTCTAAATAATGCCGGTCCGCTTCTGCTGCTTTTCAAAATTTGGTTCAGTATTTATAACATGGATCGCGGAAGTCACATGACTGCATATGCATGTATGTAAATGTAATGCAATATGGGCGGATCTTACGACTAGGATGATGATTTGTCAATTCGTGGAAATTTTACAACGTCACTATTAATATATGCGATACTTTAATTATTTGGCTATTATGATTTTTTTTACATTTTTTTTATTCTGAAATGATAGATTTTAATTACATGTACACGTATGTTATTAAGAAAAGCACGAAACCAACAACAGAGGTTATCTGTAAGACGGCCGCGTTCTCCCCTCCCCTATACATATACACCATGGTGTGTATGCAACCAATGGCGCGTTACTCATTTCTACCAGATGTAGACTTCTTCTGTATATGTACTTTATTGTGATGTGAATTCCGGGCCTTTTCGCAGATATAGTAAATCCTGGTAGAACTACCGCCATTATTATTGGCGACCGAATCGAAAATTAGCTATCCGAAACTATGACATCCTCGATACTCTAGGCGTCCCTTCCTGGAGTAGAGAGACTGAATCTATATCAGAGATCACAGCCTCATATGATAAGATAACGAAAGGTCACAAAAGATAGAAGACCTTTGGAAAAATGTATTAAGATATTTTCAAAACACAATAACATTCAAACACAAAGTTTGTACATTTCTGTTTCTCTCTACACCTCGATACACATTACTCAAACGTACAAGGTGTATTATAAATCATGGTAAGGGGAGGGGTCCACACTTTTTGGGCCTATAATTTTTGTTTCAATATGAAAATAAATCGTTTCGCTGCGTTCGGCATTGCATTTTTAATCAAACTCGAATGTATTTTTATTTTCCTGTTTCAATTACGTTGGAAAAAAGCTAAAAAATGAAAAACAAAATGAGAAATCAGTTCAACAATCCTGGATCCGTCCCTGCCTATGAAGTGATAGGAGAAATCTCAAACACTACACTTGCCACGCTTTACGTAATGCATCTACTGTCATTTATAAAACATAACTGGGTAACATAAGAATGTACAGGTGGCTATTGATCCTGAAAACCTTACCTGGTGCAACAGTGTTTGATAAAACCTACCTAGCACGACGTTTATACCTGATACGTGCACACTTACATGTAGATTTTATCTGTTGTTTGTAAGGATGTAGGGAGAACAAACTGGCCTGCCGTCAGTGCTGAACCGTGAGACAATCTTTTGTGAGATTACCTGCAGTTTTTTTTCTGTCTTCACACTTATTCAGTCATGAAATATAATGATTGGCAAAAGGCGTTGTTAATATTTTCTTTATTTTATTTATAAGCTGATCCTATATGTAAATAAAAATATGAAAGATATCTCAGGAACTCACTGAACTGGCCAAATTGAAATAATTTCATTTGAAAAATCGCCAAAAGTTTACCGTTAGGCTATTTTCACGGCGATTAAACCGAATACAGAAACAAAATGTGAAATAACCATGAAACTTTCACTTTATCTTTTTGAATGATTTATTTAAGGATAAAATGTTTTCCATCGGTTTTATTGCCGTGAAAACAGCTTAACGGATGAACTTTCGGCAACACTTTAAAGTATATCATTTCATTTTGGGATGTCGATCTGGTTCTCGACATAGTCTTCTTAATACAAAGGAATGGATAATATTGCAACAAATTTGACAATAAGCGCCTAGGCCCACGCGCCTTAATCTTTTCTGTTCCACCTGATGACTAAGCGAAGAACTCTTTAATGAATTATAGTAACGAGTACATATATCTTTTTTTTCCATTATCGGAGGACCTTTGGAAGGAATATATTTGAGCCGGTAGGAACCAGACTCGGGGAAGGGAGCAGACTCGTGGTGTTGCATATCTTTTGTTTTTCGTAATTGAAACCTAACAACAATTAAGATCTTTGTATGACCCGTATTTATTACTGCCCTTTAGCTTTAGTGTAGATCTTCATTATGTAATTCTTTCCTTATGGGGAAGTTAAGAAAAACAAAAATTCTTCTGATTTTACAAGAACCATTGTCAGAAAAGAAGACATGTGTTTCACTATTTATACATATAATGGACGAGTTTTACTGTCATAACGAAGTCACCGGGACTAACTGAGTTTACACACACATTCTGTTGTACATGCATACATTTAATACACACGTATATTATGGAACATGGACACGTTCTTAATACGCATATATTTGGTTGCTCGCGCATGTATTTCATGCAATTAAAAGAGAAAGTTGGTTTCCCGAAAAGTATATAGATTTGCTCACATGATTTGAAGCAGAAGTGACGAACGGTGCTGACTAGACATTCCCTTTATCACGGTGACAAACAGCGGCGTTCTTGTCCCCCCGCCAAGAAGTACTGTGTTGACTTTTTTTCCCGCTTTTGTATGCTGGTCAAAAGCAGACTATTTTTATACGGAAAACGTTGTTTGAAGTAAGATTGAATAATGCCTTTGAATGTATGCTGATCGCATGTATGCATTACGTGACATGTACATGTGACACGTGACATGTACATGTGACACGTGACATGTACATATTCGCAAAACTTTAATTGCTCTACTTGCCCTTTAACAGTTTACAGTGTTTTGTCAATATATCATTTGAGATATGCATCATTCCATTTCAAATAATTTTCCTGATACTGACGCGGTTTAAAATGAAAGCTGTCGAAGTGTTGTCGCGTGCTATGCTTTTCCCGCATTTATAAATAGATTTGACGTATTATCATCTGATACACATGACGGTCCTTCATTTCGCGGAATTCTAAAATATCAAGATTTTCATAAAATCGTCTGAATTAGACTAATTACACGTAGCCTGGATGTTGAAAGAGATGCTAGTTTAGGAATGAGTGTTCGTTCATGTATAAAACAAGATAATCGAACGCATTAAAACAAGGCCTTAACCATCGTTTTTACAGACTTTTACTGAGCAGAGAGTGAATATCTAGGCTTCGGTCTGATTTCAGGCATTTAGCCAGTTATTAAGACAGAAAGATGTAGACAATTCGGACAAATGCACGTGTTATCGTCATCAATTTTATGTGAACATTACCAGAACCCAACCTTGGATTTCAAAGACGGCTTTCATTAAAATGTTATACCAACATATTTGCTGCTGACCATCCCAAGTTCTCTATCTTGGTTCCTGCATTCTCACTTAGAATCCTCCTTTGACCCTTACGTGTTCATGGAAATCGTCACGTGATGTAGTGGAAATCCGAAAAATTGCAACAACTCATTACCCTCCAATACTGTTTCCAGAAGTCACCGGCTCTAGGCCATCACATACTCATTATGGTAAGTATTTATCTTGTTGAATGTACGTTCCAAACACTAGTAAGTGAATTATAATGTACAAATGCAACGCCGTTAAGCGAATGAAATCTGCACGGATTCGAAATATATGACAGTTAAAATGTATGAAGGGATAATGATAATTTATTAGAGGAAGGGCGAAAACATTGAATATATCCCACACCAACCCTCAAACCCACAATCCGACACATACACACACTTCCATCCTCCTGTGTCCAAGACCAGAGCAATACATTTGATATATATTTAGAAAACATTTTTTATTTTATTTTTTTGCATTGCTACAGCTTCGCCTTACCATCCCCCTTTTACAGTGTTTTGTCAATAGATCATTTTTTTTCCTGATATGATTTCATCGACAAAATTTACTTTCGTATCTGCGGTTTAAAATGAAAGCTGTCGATGTCGTGTTGCGTGCTATGGTGTTTCCACATATATGTAAATAGATTTGACGTATTATCGGCTGATACACATGACGGTCTTGCATTTCGCGGAATTCTAAAATATCACGATTTTATAAAATCGTCTGAATCAGACTAGTAACACATAGCCTGGATGTTGAAAGAGATGCTAGTTTAGAAATGAATGATCGAACGCATTCTTAAATAAGGCTTTAACCATCGTTTTACGTATACAGACTTTTACTGAGCAGAGAGTAAACAGTTAGCCAGGTATACAGGCTACATCTGAGAAAGGGGTAGACATTCCGCACAAGAACGTTTAATCTTTATCTTAGTTTCAATTTTTCTTAGGAATTATTTAATGTAAACATTACCAGATAGCCATCTTTGATTTTAAAGACGGTCTCCAATTAAACTTTATTTATAGCAATATATTTGCTTCCGACCTACTTAAGGCCTCTTTGATGGTTTCTACACTGGCAGTTTTTGGGACAAGGAATGTAAATATATACTTACCTTTCTGAATATTACAGTGTAAATGTTATTTACACCGATCACAGCTTTTATTTGATTAGGATTAAACTTCATAAAATGATATGTCCAGAATCGGGTCCAAATTAAGAGTGTGTTCTGTCTGGATCCTCAATGCTTTTTAAAGGTTGTACCTCATTTGTTTTCGTTTTTTTGTTTTCAATTTCTTTTATTTTTGAAGATTTTTTAACAATACATAATACATTTATAGTTCATTTTTCCATACACATACTCACACTCATTCCATTTCTAGTCATTAGCCAAATTCAACACTATATTAAAGATACATACGTTTGTATGTTCTGTGTAGTTAACTGTACTGTTTTTAAGAAAGAAAAGAATGAGAGAAAGAATGAGATTTTTTTTTGTATAACACCTTTTGATATGATGAGAGTCAAACTAGAGTTTATTCTAGAGACGCCATATTAAGATAGATTGAAGAAAAACTCATTTTAATGTTTGTGTTTTCTGTAGATAAGACGTAACTGACATAACAAAATAAATAAAAAGAAACGTAGAATGGTTTTATATGGAACACTAGTTAAAGTAAATGTCTACATAAACTTTTGTTCAACAACTCCAGAATATATGATTGCGAACGGATTTTCGAAAGACATCAACATATAAATGTATTAATATCACTCACCTGTGTTTGTCACCTTTGCCAAACAGCTTAAACACAGTTGATAGATTAGTGGAGATATTATGTTAAAAACGATGAATTAATCACAAAAAATGTGATTAATAGGCATTTTCACTCATGAGCGTAGATTTCTATTGCATAACATTATGTAAACAAACAGCTTGTTTTGGCTTGAAACGGGAAACTGGAATGGATCCGTAGGGATTGAACACACGCAACCATTGGTACACATATATAGACACACGGAACCATTGGTACACATATATACACACACGGAACCATTGGTACACATATATACACACACGCAATCATTGGTACACATATATACACACGCAATCATTGGTACACATATATACACACACGGAACCATTGGTACACATATATACACACATGGAACCATTGGTACACATATATAGACACACGGAACCATTGGTACACATATATACACACACGTAATCATTAGTACACATATATACACACACGCAATCATTGGTACACATATATACACACACGCAATCATTGGTACATATATAATATACACACGCAACCATTGGTACACATATATACACACACGGAAGCATTGGTACATATATATACACACACCGTCACGCAATCATTGGTGCACATATATACACCCGCAATCATTGGTACATATATACACACACGCAACCATTAGTACGCATATATACACACACACAATCATTGGTACACATATATACACACACACAATCATTCGTACACATATATACACACACACAATCATTCGTACACATATAATATACACACGCAACCATTGGTACACATATATAGACACACGGAACCATTGGTACATATATACACACACGCAATCATTGGTACGCATATATACACACACGCAATCATTGGTACACATATATACACACACACAATCATTGGTACACATATAATATACACACGCAACCATTGGTACACATATATACACACACACAATCATTGGTACACATATATACACACGCAATCATTGGTACATATATACACACACGCAACCATTAGTACACATATATACACACACACAATCATTGGTACACATATATACACACAC